AAGGAATTGAATAAATTATATAGGGATTAAATGGTAATTTTACAGGTTGGTTCAACCATATTTGAAATTAAGAATATTTTGTTAAGAATTAAATTAAAATAATCTTTGGTTTTAATCTAATGATTATAAAAAATGAAGCTTTGAGGCCCATTTATTGCATCATTCATTAATAATTAATGTGAAAAAGTAACCAAAAATATTAATTAAACAAATTATTTATATATTTAAATATTAATATATTTATTAATTAAATTAAGGTAGTTTTAAATTGTTATATATTAAAGTGAAAGGACTAAATTGCAATTAATCAAAGTTAAGAGACTAAATCGTTATTTTCTAAAACAAAAAAAATGTTTTTTTAATTTTTTAAACTTCAGGTTCAAGTACAAATAAGATATATATTAAAATATATTTTTAAAATAAAAAAAATTAAGAGAAAGAATTTCAAGAAATTTCTTATCAATTTTAAACAACCAATTAATTTTTTTATATTCCAAAATCAAATGAGTAAAGATTCTGATTCTTTTCTTAAAAGAATATTATATGATAATATATATGAAATTTAGTAATATTATTTATGGGGAAACTTTTCATATACAACCATCTCGAGATTAGGGATCTAAACCAAAGTTTTTAAAGAAAGATTGAACATAAAAAAATGTTCAACTGTGTCGGGGTTGATTTGTTTCGTAAATGAGAAAGCTGAGCTTAAAAAATTATAAGATTCCATTTAATTCGATTAACGAGGATTGTAATTAAAAACGTATTTCTTCCTTCTTTTATCACTAAGAGCTTAGAATCGGTGTGAAACAGTCTCGTTAAAATAAGTGAGTCATTCCAGTTCGAGGTTCACGTTTTCATTTATTTGGAACCGTTTTGTTAGCCGCTCTTCAATCAAGGGAAAATTTTCTAATAGCAAAATCAAGGGCCCTTTCACCTTTACGATACTAAAGAAAAGTTGTTCATTTTTCAGGGTCTCGAAGGAGTGGTATGACGAAGGAAGGGCTAGTAACGGGAGTGGAGTCCTAAAAAAAGAAGGAAGAAGAAAAAGCTACACATTCTCATATACTTTCATTAAAGAATAGCTTTCTGCATCACTTGTGTTTTTAGCCTTTTTTGACCATCAAATTTCCATACATATCAACAGAGAAAAGTGTCTAAATCCATAATTACTAAGTTGACTTACCTGTTTCCTTGATCAGCTGTTGATGATATTCCGCTAGGCCATGTTGGCGTTTTCGAGCTCCGTTTGCACTCGTCATGAGAAGCCATAGGCTTACCGAGTTTCTTGTATAGCGTCCTGCACAAATTAAGAGATCAGAGTACTGAGACATCGTCAATCACTGACTTCATTTCTTTCCAACCGTTCGTTTTGCCCCGGGAACGTCGGCAGTTTTACGAACATTCTTCAAAAGACGTTTATTTTAGTCTATGAACTCTTGTTCTCGTCCGGTGGCCGAGGCCCTAACAATCTTATATCAATGGAGGCTCCATAAACTTGAGAGGAATGAATTACTGCATCATATATCTTAGAGGAAAGATTGAGACCCTCATTGTTAGCTTTCATGTATAACTCATAAGCAAGCCTTGGTTTACCGTCCTTCGCAAGGGCCTCGATGAGCAATTCGTAACTCACCTCATTTGGAGAGATATTTCGAACTTTCATGCGGTGAAACCACTCGTAAGCTACACTGCTCATGCCATTACGAACACATCCCGTGATTATCGCATTATACGTGACGACTGTAGGCTCGATGCCTGATGCAACCATATCGTTGATAGTGAGTTCAACCATATTGAACTTCCCTTGGCCAGTGAAAACCGAAGCCATAGTTGTATAGGCATAGATGTTCGGCGCCACCCCGACTTTAATCATATGATCCCAGACACTACGCGCTTCATCATAGAGCTTTCCCTTTTCCAGGGCACTAAGTAACGCCCCGTAAGAAAGGACAGTCGGTTTTTCGCCTTGGTCGACCATTCTCCTAAAAATTTCTATAGCCATGGAAGTTTCGGCAGCTCTGGAACAGGCAACAAGAACGGCGTTCCATTCCCGAATTCCGGGTTTAAGACCTTTCTCTTCCATTTTGTTGAGTAACCGAACGCCCCATCTCCAAATTCCTCGGTTTTTCGCAGCTGTGAGAAGAACATTGAAGTGAGAAACAATTAGTTCATATGATAGATTATTTGGTTTTGGTCCTTTCTCCAACAAATCTTCATAAATCTCCAACGCAGCCCACCATTTCTTAGCTTTCCCCATCAACCAAATCACATGATTACAAACAGATAAGCTTATCCCAGATTTCTTTTCTCGGATCCTATAGTACAATTCTTTTGCTACATTATGGTGCTCCGCACACGTGCAAGCCCAAACAAGTCGTTCCTCTTCAGCACGATCGAGCGACAGTCCTGCTTTATCCATTTCCGTGAGAAGTTGCAATACCTTCGTGCTTGCGCTATCACCCTTCACGAGCCAAATCCTCATTACTTGGTAGCAAACACGCCTAGTAAAGTTTTCGAGCTTTAAGAACTCATCGTCCCAATCTACGTTATCGTCTTTCGCTATCTCACCATTACGATATCTTTCTCTCAACTCAACCATGAACTTTAAAGCACCGTTCCCATCTTTCATCCTTCGGTATGCTCGTAAGGCCGTAGAGTATGACACAGGAGACAGAGTTAAGCCTTTCTTCGGCATTTCTTCAAGAATGTCGAGAGCTTTCATTGGCAGTCCTTGGTCCAAGTAAATCGACATAATAGTATTGTACGTAACAACATTTGAAACGATCCCTTCCTGAGACATATCATTCAAGATATCTTCCATTTTTGAAAACTCTCCAGATTGCTTAACCGCACCGAGAAGACTGTTGTATATGAACAAGTTTGGTGCGATACGACCATTCGTTTTGATCTTCCTTGTCTTCAGCCATTCAACAAGAGCCAATGCACACCCCAACCTCTTGTCTCTCCCAAAACCTTTAATCAAGGAAGAGAACACTTGAAGAGGCAATTCACCAACATCCTTGAGAACCTCCTCGACATCATCTACAGTTCGAGCAAGCTCCAACCGACCTGCTAGTGCACGAACATCGACCTTAACATCTCCCTCTCCCTCTATACCTTCCTCATCTTTAAAACTCCTTCCATTGCTATTTTCACTATTAACAGTGTCATGATCATGATCATCCCAATCTAAACTCTTCTCAGGAAAATCATCACCACAATTCGATTGAACCCTAACAATTTCACCGTCAATCGTTGGTTGTTCAACAGCCCAAGCAGATAAAAACCACACACCAAGAGAATTCCTCTTCGGCTTCATTAATCGAGCAACCCTAAGCTTAGAACAGCCATGGCGGAACTCAAAATTGCAATCAAATTTCGAGTTCTCATAACAAAATCCACATCTCAAAACACTTGAACTAAAGGGAATCAAAGAGAAACCGCCATTTCCACAACAACCAGAAAACCCAACGCAGTTTATCCTTTTCCTTGAACCATTAACTACAGAGCTACAACCTAATTCAAGGCCAGAGCTACTAGGGCACCAATCACTAAGAATACTCATCGTCTATGGAAATTAACGAGAAAAAAAAAAAAAAAAAACAGAATCCCAGAATTTGAGCGGCAATGAACAATTTGAGTGTCCTATGAATGATTTCCCATTACAATCCAAAGTCGGAAAGAGAAATGAAGAACAGAATTACCTGCTAGAGATGTATCTGCTTCAGTTTGAGCTGCAAATGAGAGGATTGAAGAGAGATTGAAATGAATGCGGATTTGGTGAAGGATTTTTTTTTTGGATAATACGGGTTTTGTTTGGTTCTTTTTATCTTTCGAAGTTGTTCCTCTCACAACCACTGAATTTGTAGTTAATTTTTTTTAGTTTCTTTTTTTTTTATACATATTTTTATAATTTAGAAAATATAGTTTTTTGTTTATACAAAATTTTAAAATATTAAATATTAATAAAAGTTTTTTTTAAAAAAAATAAAATATTAATTGAAACTTTATAATATCAATAATTTTATCTAGTAGAAGTAATAAAACAATCTAAATTTTTTATATAAGATTCAAAAAATCCTAAAGAAAATCTATATATATATATATTGAAAATTTATTGAATAATTAAATGGGTCGATCCAATTTCTTTTGATCATTGAAATTGGGTTGACATGCCAGCCCGACACTATTTTACGTTCGGAAGGTTGGTTGTATTGGTGACCCGAGCAACTCGAATAATATTCACAATCCAAAACAACCAAAAATTTCGTAAATCTCAAATATCAAATATTCACAAGTCACAACTCATCTAACATCGGTTCTAATCGCTAAATATCATTAGTTTTCGTGATAACCTCTTGGGTTGATTGGGTTGACCGGCCCAAAAACAATCAACCACCAACTGATTTTCAAAAAATTCAACCCCCAACTTTGTAATGAATGTATTTAAGTTTGGACAAACGAGTAAACCCACATTTTGTTAATTCAATAATATTTTATTCTTAAAAAACGCATGTGTTTCTTACATTATTACTATAAATCTCTTGCTCTAAGAAACCGAACAACAATTTCAAAGTTGACGTTGTTAATATGTTTAGATCACGAGCAAATTATGGGAAAAAGGTCAAACCGATAGCCAAAAAGGGACGAGTTTTGAAAGTAGCTCATGATTACTACATTGCTCAAAAGAAACTAGTCATCCCTCGAAATAAACTCGACGGAAATAAGACATAACAACATTCAAAAGAATATCTACAAGAAGCTGAAACACGTTATTAGTACGATTCTCTTGCTCTAAAAAACCGAACAACAATTACAAAGTCGACATTACTAATCCTTTTGAGACCATGAAGCAAATTGTGGGAAGGTGGTCGACAACCAAAAAGAGACAGCTTTGAAAGTATTCCACAATACTACGAACCGGTCATCCCTCAAAACAAAGTCAACAAAAACAAGACATAACAACAACGTTCAAAAGAATAGTTTACAAGAAGTCGAAACACGTTATTACTACGAACCTCTTGCTCTAAGAAATCAAACAACAATTTCGAACTCAACCCCATTAATCCTATTGAGACCATGAAAGCAAAGTATGGGAAGAAAATCCAACGACGGCCAAAAATAAACATAATTACAACGTTTCTAAAAAAGAACCAGTCATCTCTCAAAACAAACTCGATGAAAACAAAACACAGCATCGTTTCAAATAATAGTTACAAGAAGTCAAAACACATCATTACTACGAACCTCTTGCTCTAAGAAACCGAACAACGATTCCAAAGTCGATGTCATGCCATTAATCCTTTCGAGACCATGAAGAAAGCTTTGAAAAGAAAGTCAAAAGACAGCAAAAAAGGGACCAGCTTTGAATTAGGAGACCAGACATCATAGATTTTGCAGAAGAAAGCTTTGAAAAGAGACAAAAAGTCAAATCCTGACCTCCCATTTCCCGCAGATGGCTGAGCTGCGCATGCTCCTTTTCCTTGTTCTTCCCATGTTCCAAAAGCCAGTTTTACTTTACCACTCAGCAACAAATGATGCAGAGATTTGTATAATAGACTGTGACAATAAATTAGAAGAAAGCAAACAAAATGATGTTTTTTTCCCTTGCAAATCCACGCGCATTACCCGGTTTGTATTCTATCAAGCCGATCGACACTTTTTCTTGCTCTTTCCAATTGGTGTTCGACGATTTTCCATGACTTTTCATGGCAATCGACACTTTTACGAGACCTCTCCCCATGGTTAAAGGAGAGTCTGAGCTTTTCTAACTTATCAGTAGCCTTCAGCTTCTCTGGTTGATCAGTGCTCCGCCTTGGTTTATCTCTCCGGTCTGTGCTCTTCCTTGGAATCTCGAAAAAATCTGTGCTCTTACGAGGCTGCTCGTATTGGTCTGTACTTTTTCTGGCACTGTATCGCTGTGAAGGAGGTTTCTCAACTGTTCCTACAAACTTCTTTAGATGCCTGATATACTCGGGATAGAGCTCGAGATTACAGTGGTTTCCGCCATTTAGCCACAGCGGTTCGTATTTCTCTTTACAGAGCTCCCATAGTTGCTTGCCATGGGAGCAATCAACCACATCATCTGAAGTTCCCTGCAAAATGGTGTAAAGATGCCTTAGATTTTGAATACTTTCACAGAGCCAACATTAGATAGCTACAAATTACACTGAAAATTTGAAGAGAAATCTGTACTCTTTTGGATGTTTGAAATTAAATCTACAGGTTGCCATCGTGTATATATGAGTTAATTTCATTGATGTTTTCATGGTATATGAATCTAAAAACTAAACCAAGAGATGATACTTCCTCCTCGTTTACTATAGTAGTAGAGAAGACTGATAATGTGAGATCCCATGTCGGTTGGAGAGGGGAATGAAACATTCCTTATAAAAGTGTGGAAACCTCTCCCTAGTAGACGCGTTTTAAAATCGTGAGTCTGACAACGATACGTAATGGGACAAAGTGGACAATATCTGCTAGTGATGAGCTTGGGCTGTTACAAATGGTATCAGAGCCAGATACCGGACGGTGTGCCAGCAAAGAGAATGTTGGCCTCCAAGGGGGATGGATTGTGAGATCCCACATCGGTTGGAGAGAGGAAAGAAGCATTCCTAATAAAGGTGTGGAAACCTCTCCCTAGCAAACATGTTTTAAAACCTTGAGTCTGACGGCGATACGTAACAGGACAATGCAGACAATATCTACTAGCGGTGGGCTTGGACTATTACAGATAATGATTAATCTTCTTTTAATAGCATCACAAACATTAACAGCCAAACGAGCAAGCGCCCTCCTATTACCGACTCCTAATAACACTAAGATAAAAAGAACCAAACGGCTTAACATATTCAAATCCGAGATGCATCAACACCACAGAATCATATCCATAACTCATATGTCAAACAATGCACAAAGCCATAAAGAGGAACTAAGTTGAAGATCATCCTTACATGAATGATGAGGATTGGGCAATTAACCAGCGAAATTTTGTCGATATTCTGCACATAGATAGAAAACGAAGTCCGTTAACTACACGTATATGAAAACCAATGAACCAAATAGTAATATCTTACCTTATAAATATCGAACCAGTAGGAGCGCTTTACAGGATACATGACTCTTAGACCAGAGAGTATTGGACTATGCAAAACAACAGCTCTTAAGCGAGGAAGTCGAGCTGCAAGATCCAAAGTCGGGCCACTCCCAACGGATTGACCGTATAAGATCACATCTTCCTGCTTGGTACCATAGCTTTCTTCAAGACACTTATATGCAGCCTCAATATCTGCATATGTATTTTGCTCAGATGGCTGCAACACAATGTTTGAAAAATCCTCATTTTATTACTATAAAATACAGAGTTATTTCTGTCATCAGAAGCAAATTCAACACACCTTTCCTGATGATTGACCGTAACCCGAATAGTCGTACCTGCACGAAGTAAAAGGAACCGTATCAGGAACAACACACTTAGGAGGTTGTTTAGACTCGTTTTGTAACGGCCCAAGCCCACCACTAGCAAATATTGTCTTCTTTGGACTTTCCCTTTCGGGCTTCCCCTCAAGACTTTAAAACGCGTCTGCTAGGGAAAGGTTTCCACACCCTTATAAAGGGTGTTTCGTTCTCCTCCCCAAACAATGTGGGATATCGCAATCCACCCCCCTTCAGGGCCCAACGTCCTCGCTTGCACTCGTTCCTTTCTCTAATTGATGTGGGACCCCACGAAATCCACCCCCCTTCGGGACCCAACGTCCTTGCTGACACACCGCCTCGTGTCTACCCCCGGGGAACAGCCTCCTCACTGGCACATAGTCCGGCGTCTGGCTCTAATACCATTTGTAACGGCCCAAGTCCACCACTAGCATATATTACCCTCTTTAGGCTTCCCCTCAAGGCTTTAAAACGTGTCTGCTAGGGAAAGGTTTCCACACCCTTATAAAGGGTGTTTCGTTCTCCTCCCCAACCAATGTGGGATATCATAATCCACCTCCCTTCAGGGCCCAGCGTCCTTGCTGGCACTCATTCCTTTCTCTAATTGATGTGAGACCCCACCAAATCTAACCCCCTTTGGGGCCCAACGTCCTTACTAGTACATCGCCTCGTATCTACCCCCTTCGGGGAACAACCTCCTCGTTGGCACATAGTCCAATGTCGGGCTTTGATATCATTTGTAATGGCCCAAGCCAACCGCTAGCAGATATTGTCCTCTTTGGGCTTTCCCTTTCGGGCTTCCCCTCAAGGCTTTAAAACGCGTCTGCTAGGAAAAGGTTTCCACACTCTTATAAAAGGTGTTTCGTTCTCCTTCCCAACCAATATGGGATATCTCACATTTGGTAGACACGGCAAGGTCAAGAATTTCCATCGAACAAGCCGATGAGCTACGTGAGCTTTAGAGCATGGATTCACAACTCCTCCTACCTGCAGATTGTGCTTGAAAGAACTAACAAATCAACAAATTCATCACAGCAAAGAGTCCATTTCTAATGTTCTTCTTAAAATTTTATTGATTAAGATGCACTGTTTAACATCTTCTCCAGCATCTAAATTTGCCAAAACTAAAGCTCTGAATCTATGATTTATAAGGATAATAGATTGATAAACTGAAACGAACAGAGTGACAATGAAGCCCACAAGATTGGAAGATCCACACAACAATAACTCACAAAAAGCTGAAACAGAACTTAAGCAAATTCTTCAAAGAAACCAAGCAACAACAAAATTCCATGAAAAATACCCTTAAATCGATCTAAATTTGCTTAAATTAAACAAAATGCAAGCAATCAAACTCATAATCTTCCAGAACAGAATGCCAAAATAGAGAAGATCAAAAGGCATAAACAGAGAGCTATCAAAACAGAGTTATCAAATCCAAATGTTAAGAAATGGGGGGAAGAACAAGTACCCCATAAGATTAACACGCAGGTGAATACTGAGCTCGATGAAGAGCTCATACATTTGGCCAAGATCGGCGGCGTTGCCATGAGAATACAACAGAGTGGAAGTCGCCATAGGATGCCGGACATAAACGGCAACAATATCGGTGCTCCGACGAGAGGGAAGTTTCAGAACTTCAACATTTTCGCGATGAGGGAAAGGGCTAAGAAGCAAAAGACCAGTAAGATCATCAGTGATGAGCTTATAGGAAGGTGGATTCGGCGGGAAGAAGGCGAACTTCGCCGCCATGGATGAGGTAACGCCACCCATATCGCCGCTGCCTTGGAACCCACAAAAGATTTCAAAATCTACACTGAAAAAACGTCCGATTATATCTATTCGAGGTGTTTTCGATTTGGGAATTTCAAAATGAAACCGACATTCCTTTAACCCCTTTGGATTTTTCTTTTCAGAGACAGTGGGGAAAAGAGCACAGAAGATGTTCATCCAGTGAGTGAGATTGCTACATTCTTCAATGGATTAAGCCTCCTTCCTTCCCCATGTTTTAGAGAGAGAGAGAGAGAGAGAGATACAGAGCGGTGGACCAGAGGGGGTGTGAAGGTTGAATTATTTGAAGGGTCAGATTACTCTCAGTACTCTGTGTGAAAGGGAATTATGGCGGACGCAGCCTCTGCTTTGTTTGGTCTTCCAATGTAAATTTCAAATATCAAACTTTCCCGAACTAGAATACATCACTCAACTTAATTATAAATGTCAAATATTTTTAATAGTTATAGTAATATTCTTAATAGTCATAGTAATCTTAAAAGTAGAGTTGAGTTGGATTGTAACCTTATCTTCGGATTGATCGTGCTGACTCGAAAAGAATGTTAACTTGTGAACCGAGCCAAATTGTCAAATATTCTTAATAGTCATAGTAATCTTAAAAGTAGAGTTGAATTGGATTGATCGTGCTAACTCGAAAAGAACATCAACCTGTGAATCGAGCCAAATTTTTTATTTTTTAAAAATTCAACCTAACCTAACTTTTATGGTTTGAATTGGATTGTCCAAATTGATCGGATTATCGAGTCATATAAACATTCTTATTTGCTACCAATAAGAGATCAAGATTTATGATTCAATTATCATTCTTAATGGTTAGAACTTAAAAAGTTTTAAATATTAGTTTAGTCACTTTATTATGTGTTTCATTGTATGGTTGATCGGTGGTTACTAGTGTATTTTATGTTTCATTTTATAGTTGGTGGTTGCTAGTGATTTTCGACTTCATGCAGGCAAGTTGCAATTTGGAATTTAGTATTCTGTGTTTCATTGTATGGCTGATCGTTGGTTACTAGTGATTCCGACTTACAGGCAAATTGAAGCCTACCATCTGAACTGAAAATGAGATTTTGGAGTTAACTCACCTTCACGGTATCACAACCCTTTGTCCCAACCCATGGGAAAGCCTCTTCTTTATGTTCGACATCAAATGTATTGAATGCCCCACAATTTTGAAAGTTTAAATTCAATCCTAATAGTTTTAAATATTAGAATGAATCCCTAATCATAAATTAACTCTCTATTTTCAAACCGGTAAAAAATCAATTAATTATCCATTATATATGCCATATTAATAACCCAAATCGCATAAAACTCAAATATCAAACAAGTCTAAATTGTTGGAGCTATCGGGTCATTTGAACACCCTTAGGCGAGGGTAAAGATTGTAAATTTAACCAAGTTTTTATTAGGTTGGGTTAAACTAACCAAAAAATCTAAACCCGCTAACCAAACCAAAACTTTGGTTCTCCAAAAACCCAACCCAGGGTTGGGTTAAGTCGTTAGGGTGGTTTGAGTTATCAGGTCATTAGAACATTCCTACTCAATACATATCGACATTTCTTTTCATTTCAAGCCTCTAGTCAGTCACTTATATATTGTCTCGACCAAATCAAACGGTCGAGAATTGCTCGTTACCTCGTGTAGACAAGGAGATAGAGGATCATACTCATTCACCAGCATAGAAGGGGAAAAACTCTTCCTGACCTCTCAAGTCCCATCATCTCCAACCTGGATCAACGGCAGCAATGGTGAAAATCATTATCAATTACAGTGAAGAAAAGAATGAACAATAGGCAGATGGGAAGGGAATGATTATTTCCTTTATCCAAATCAAACTTAATTCACACCATAAAAAGGCTTAGAAGAGATGTTGATATGAGATCTGCATGTATTATAGATGGAAGTTTAGTCAAAACTAATCAGAAACATTGTTATCACTAAATTCAAAAGTGTACTTATTACCGACCCCACATGTGTGAAACCTTACATCGGTTGGAGTGAAAAACATTCCTTATAAGGGTATGAAAATCTCTTCCTAAGAAATGCGTTTTAAAACCATACGGCTAATGGCGATACTAACGGACCAAAACGGACAATATCTGCTAGTAGTGAGCTTGAGCTGGACGCTGGGTCCCAAGGGAGTAGATTGTGAGATCCAACATTGGTCGTAGATGGGAACGAACCATTCCTTATAAGGGTGTGGAAGCCTCTCCCTAAGAAATGGGATTTAAAACTGTACGACTGACAACGATACGTAACAGGCAAAAATGAACAATATCTACTAATGGTAGGCTTAGGCTGTTACGCCAAAAAAGCGGAACTTTGATGAAATAAATAATCCAAACATGTCATAATGTCAGCCACACTACATGGACCCCAAATCAAGGAGAAAAGCTTCAAATCAAGATCATAAAGCAAGCACCAACCTCTTGTGTTTGAAAATGACTAAATAACAACAGAATATAAAGGAAAAATGCCTAGGAAGTAGAAATGAAGCTATGGGCAGAATAAAGGAGGGGGGTCCCTAGTTTTATGTAAAGGAATAGAAGAAAAGAAGTTGTGGGCCTCTGTGATCCTACCTCTTCTTTTTTTGTAGTGATGGGATGATGAGCCATGTCCCCCATCCATGGCAGGGAATCTAGATTTTCCTCAAAGATTTCTTTGCTCGACACTGAATGGTTGGGGTTTACCGAATACATTGAGCACGTTGATTGTAACAGCTCAAGCCCACTGCTAGCAAATATTGTCTGTTTTAAAACGGTTTTAAAACGCATCTGCTAGGGAAATGTTTCCACACCCTTATAAGAAATGCTTCGTTTCCCTCTCCAACCGATGTGAAATCTCACAATCCACACCTTTGGGGGCCCAACGTCCTCGCTGGAACACAGTCCAATGTCTGGCTCTGATACCATTTGTAATAGCTCAAGCTCACCGCTAGCAAATATCATCCGTTTTGGTCCGTTACGTATTGTCATCAACCTCAGAATTTTAAAACACGTCTGCTAGAGAGAGGTTTCCACACTCTTATCAAGAATGCTTCGTTCCTCTTTCCAAGCAATGTGAGATCTCATAATTCACCCCCTTTGGGGCCAGCATTCTCGCTGGCTCACTGCTCGGTGTCTGGCTCTTATACCAATTGTAAAAACCCAAACCCACTATTAGCAAATATTGTTCGCTATGGCCCGTTACATATCACCGTCAGCCTCACAATTTTAAAACGCGTCTACTAAGGAGAGATTTCCATACTCTTATAAGGAATGCTTTATTTTCCTCCCCAACCCATGTGAGATCTCACATCAATGATCAAGTTTAGTGGCCATATCGGTTTAGATCCGATGAAGCAACTTTCTTAGCCTAATAGCATGTCAAAGAGTCTTTCTTATCCATAATGAAAACAAATGAATCGTTTTTGTCCTTCAGCAGGTAAGATGCTATTTCTACCATACTAAGATCGACACCGAGAACACCGATGAAGTTGCCAAGTGGCAACGTACAAGAGGTGGCAAGTATATAGTCTACTTCACAGCTTATTGAATGGGACAAGCCCTCTTCAATTACATCAAAGAAGGACAATACATTCTGCAAAAGAAATCTTGCATATATATGTCACAGCAGCAGATACAAAACCAAAGCATATCAGGTCATTGTTGTCATTTCCTGTCAATCAATACATCAGTATGCTCCCAACAACAATAATTGGTTCAAAAAATTGGAAATATCGAATTCTAGAGCACTCTTGAGCTTCTGCCTCAATTCAAAATTAGTGTACATAGTATCAGTTAACAATGGAGGTGCATCTTCCTATATTATCACGGCCTTTTCCGACCTTCTACCTCAATTTTTCAAAACTCATGAGCATAGTTCATCACATTGAGATACCGTTATGCTTACGCTACCTTAAACTAATAAGTCTTAGCTAACGATGGGAGTTGATCTTCGTACATTATCATATCGTCTTCCAGCCAGTAAAGCAATGTTTTGTACTAGAAGGCAGAAGCTTGTCCAATGTGTTAACATCCATCAACTTTTCCAGAGACTAAGTGGTAATTATCCAAGGATTAAGATTATAATATCCAAAAGTTTCAATATATAGATTCTAGACAAGTTTTTTTTATGAGAAGCATGATTCTAGACAAGTTCTATTTATGATAAATTAATATGAATGCCAATCAGAGTGCAAGAGAAAGAAGGTTGCTAGAACAATAAACAAGCCATATTTACCTAGCAAATAGCAAATAGAACAAACTGCTACACCTTGACTACAGACCAATTCGTGCAAACTAAATAGAATATATTGGCTCATATTCCTTGCATTATGGGCTATGCCTCAAGATCACTTTCAATATCACATAGAGAGGTTAAGAAAATTGGGAGATCCCACATCGGTTGGAGAGGGGAATAAAGCATTCATTATAAAGGTGTGAAAACCTCTCTCTAGCAAACGTGTTTTAAAATCTTGAGGGGAAAGCCCAAAGAGGACAATATCTGTTAGCGGTGGATTTGGACTGTTACAAATAATATCAAAGCTGGTTATCGGGTAGTATAACAGCGAGGACGTTGGGCCCTCAAGGGGGTGGATTGTGAGATCCCTAGCAGAAGTGTTTCAGAACCTTGAAGGAAAAGCCCCAAAAAGAACCATATTTGCTAGTATCAGGCTTGGGCTGTTAGAGAACTACGTTAAATTAAGAATCTCCAAAGGCTTGGGCTGTTAGAGAACTACGTTAAATTAAGAATCTCCAAAGGCTTGGGCTGTTAGAGAACTACAGTTAAATTAAGAATCTCCAAATGCAAATCCTTTTTTCTTTTTCATTTGTGGGTTAGGGGGTTGACGGCTGAGGTCGAGTTAGGAACTAGGAACTAGGAAGAGATAAAAGCTATTCGTCCAAAAAGAGAAGTCCAACATCCAAAGATATATCATTTTTGAGCAAACGATTTGCAAAGTCTAACGTCTCAAGGACGTTGTCCTTGTCAAAAGAGAATTTCTCATGGACATATCATATTCCATGACCCCTCACCATTCCGCCAATCAAAGAGCACACAACCACTTTAAAAGAACTCTATTTCTATGAATTTTCTGAGCAAGCAAACTTATTACCATACACAAGAAGAAGCCATTAGGAGGCTCATAGCTTAATGTATTACCACCATTTGATTACCAGCACAAAAGAAGCTTTCATTAATCAGAACCGTAAGGTCTAATCTTAACCTTCTATAACCAGCAAATTTTAGTATTACAGAGATGATATTCATTGGGAATAAACTAGAAAGCACCCTTTGATGTATCAATGTAATGTAATAGCTTAAGCTCACCGCTAGCAAATATTGTCCTCTTTGGGCTTTCCCTTTAAAGACTTCCCTTCAAAATTTTAAAACACGTCTGCTAAGGAGAGGTTTCCACATCTTTATAAGGAATGCTTCGTTCCCCTCTCCAATCGATGTGGGATCTCACAATTCACCCCCCTTGGAGGCTCAACATTCTCACTGGCACATCACTTAGTGTCTACAACTCAAGCCCACCGCTAGCAAATATTGTCCTCTTTGAGTTTCCCTTTCAAGGGCTTCCCCTCAAGGTTTTAAAAAGCGTCTGTTAGGGAGAGGTTTCCACACCCTTATAAGGAATGTTTCATTCCTGTAACGGCCCAGATCCACCGCTAACAGATATTGTCCTCTTTGGGCTTTCCCTTTCGGACTTCCTCTCAAGGCTTTAAAACACGTTTGCTAGGAGAAGGTTTCCACAATGGTGGTTTGTTCCCCCCCCCAACCAATGTGGGACATCACAATCCACCCCCTTCGGGGCTTAGCGTCCTCGCTGACACTCTTTCCTTTCTCCAATCAATGTGGGACTGCCCCCAAATCCACCCCCCTTTGGAGCCCAGCGTCTTTACTGGCACACTGCCTCGTGTCTACCCCCCTTCGGGGAACAGCAAGAAGGCTGGCACATCGTCCGGTGTCTGGTTCTGATCCTTTCGAGCTTCCCCTCAAGGCTTTAAAACGCGTCTTCTAGGGAAAGGTTTCCACACCCTTATAAATGGTGGTTTGTTCTCCTCCCCAACCAATGTGGGACATCACAGTTCCCCTCTCCAACCGATGTGGGAACTCACAATCCACCTCCTTGAAGGCCCAGCGTCCTTGTTAGCACATCGGCAGCTCTAATACCATTTGTAACAACCAAAACCTACTGCTAGCAGATATTGTCCTCTTTAGACTTTTCCTTCCATGGATTCCCCTAAAGGTTTTAAAACGCAACTGTTGAAGAGAGGTTTCCACATCCTTATAAGAAATGCTTCATTTTGGATCCCACAATCAATCTTAAAACAAGAGCAAAATGAAAACATGATCTGCAAAAAACCCCTACACAGGAAGTATGAATCATTTGAACTTCAAGTTAACACAACACTTCCAAACTTATTCAGGAAAACAAAAGGCACATCTATGAAAAGCTTCCTTTGAGCTCGAAACAATAATCTCTAAGAATTGGCCACTAAGAACAATGACGAAGGAAAATTTTTAAACCCATTCTACAAGACTAAAAAGAATACATATAGTCTTACCAAATAAAGAAACTATGTCTGTCTACGAAGTCTCTTCCTTAGCTTCTTGTACTTGTGCTTGTTCATCTTGCGTTTCCTCTTCTTCTTCACGCTATCAGCCCACAACTTCCGAGAATCGTTTTCTTCAACATAATCCGGCTCGAATTGAATCGATCCAGTTGAGGAGATTTGCTGCAAGTAAAGTCCAAATGGAAAACTAGGGAAGAACTGCGAAAATTGAGACGGATACGAAGTTGAAACAGAGTTCAAATTAGAATCACAATGGCCGTCTGGTTTCCTATCAATGTCAAGAGGTTGGTGAAGAATATAGGGTAATGAGGGATTTTGTGAGGTCTGGCTACCCAGAGCAGCAATTGTTCTTGTAGGTGGCGATTTTCTAATGAGCTTTTGAAGAATCGACGCCATTGATACAGAGCGAAGCTTTTGAAACTGAATGAAGCTATATGTTTTAGAGAGATTTACTGATGGAGATGAAAAAGAGAACTCGGAAGAGAGTGGGAGAACGAACAGCGCCACAAACCCTAAGCAGATGGGAAAGACAGAGGAACGAAATTTTGATTTTTTTTTTTTTTTTTAGGAAAATAATTAACCTTAAACTCCTCAAATTAAAACTAGGACAAGCTAAACTCAATAATTAAAAAATAAATAAATAAATAAATAAATAAATAAATATCTCTATAAATTCGTTCTAAAAAAATATAAATCAATAACCGAACATTTAAATTTTATGAATAAATTTCTTAAAAATTGAATTAAATCAACGTTAATTTTAAAAAATACATTTTATACCATATTTATTTTATTTTTTGAGCTATAAATCTTAATTAAATGTTTGAAAAATAAATAAATAAACTGATTTGGAGTGGGATTTTCATCATCCAATACCTCCCCTCGAACAAAGTACGCATTTCCTTAATCGTAGCTCGACTCCAAAGCCTTCGAGAAGGTTGGACTCCTTTTCTTTTGAAGTCATTAAATTGAGCTATAAATCTTAATTAAATATTTGAAAAAATAAATAAATAAGCGGATGTGGGATGAGACTTTTATCCTCTAATACCTCCCCTCAACAAAATATGTCTCTCTTTAATCGTGTCTCGACTCCAAAGCCTTTGTGGAGGCTTGACTCCTTTTCTTTTAGACTCCTTTGTTCGATATTTGAGGATTTACCAATCTATCGGCACGATTAAGTTTAGCGCATGACTCTGATACCATGTTAGACGAACACGATTCTCCACAATGGTATGATATTGTTAACTTTAAGCATAAAATCTCATGATTTTGCTTTGTACTTCCTAAAATGTCTCGTACGAATAGAATGAGTATTATTTGATTATAAACTACTGATCATTCTCTAAATTAGCAGACGTGGGACTTTCATCATCCAACACACACCACTCGAACTAATACAGTAAAAACAACTCAACTGAAAAATAACACAAGTGGGTCGGGTTGAATTTATTATTTAATAAAAATTTACTAACATTACTCCCTGAGAGAATGAAAATAATACAAAACTTCCCCAGATCTTTCCAAAATTAAAAACTGGCCCCCACTTTTATTCGGAGTTTTTCTCGAGCTTCCTGTGCAGAGGCTTGCTTTCAATTCCGCTGGTGGAGGTTCCATAACATCGACGATGGAAAGGCGATCCATATGGTTGCTCTTCTCGTCATCTCTCTGCTTTTTTCGTTGCGACCACAGAGAGTTTCTTCCACTCTTCCTCTTCAATCATTGAATCAGGTGCTTATTTTCGCCGATGAATTTGACTTCCGTCTGTTATTATTCAAATTTTGCGAGATGGATCTTCATTAACTCCTTTTGAATTATCATTTCATTGTTTGATTTCGTAAATGAACGATGGATGGAAAAATTCTGTAGTAGTGACTTTGTTTAAATGATGTAGAGTTTGATTTAGATTCCTCACGACTTGGTCTCTTTGACAGGATGATTTGTTTTAGAATGTTCTCTGCGTTTCTGCATTGAAATCCAATGAAAATCCACTGAATTTGTGTGTTAAGAGTGAGGATGTGAGATCTCACCTCAACCGGAGAGAACGAAGCATTTATTTATAAGATTGTAGACACGTTTTAAAAGCCTGAAAGGGAAAGTCCAGAGACGACAATATCTGATAGCGGTGTGGGTTTGGATTGTTACAAATGGTATAAAAGTCGGTCGATTGTTACAAATGATATCAGAGCCAGACACCAGGCGATGTGCTAGCGAGGAGGCTGAGTCCCGAAGGGGGTGGACACGAGGCGGTGCAAGGACGCTGGGCCTTAAAGGGAGTGGATTGAGGGGCCCCACATCGATTGGAGAAGGGAACGAGTGTCAGCGAGAACGCTGGGCCCCGAAAGGGGTGAATTGTGACATCCCACATCTGTTGGGGAGGAGAACGAAGCATTCTTTACAACGGTGTGGAAAACTCTCCCAAGCAGATGCGTTTTAAAAACCTTGAGGGGAAGCCTGAAAGAGAAAGCCCAAAGAGGACAATATCTGCTAGCGGTGGGCTTGAGTTGTTACAAATGGTGTCAGAGCCAAACACCGAACGATATGCCAACGAGGAGGGACATGAGGCGGTATGCCAGCAAGAACGTTAGGCCCTAAATGGGGGGTGGATTGGGGGGTCCCACATCGATTGAAGAAGGGAACGAGTATCAGTGAAGATGCTGGACCCTGGAAGGGGTGGATTGTGAGATCCCACATCGGTTGGAGAGGAGAACGAAGCATTATTTATAAGTGTATGGAAACCTCTCCCTAGTAGACGTGTTTTAAAAACTTTGAGAGGAAGCCGAAAGGAAAGAAATACTTCTTTGCAAAGTTCTGAATTCATGTTTTCCATTTTCTTACTTGTTATGGTTAAATGCAAATTATTACTGGAGAAACTTCAATTCTATGAATGACCCTCTTCTTTGCTGTCATTTTCCATAGGGTTCTAAAGATTCTGCCACTGAGAGGTAATATTTGGTTTCTTTACCGTCACCTATGTTCCTATATAGTGAGCAGTTCATTTTCCTTATGATGATGATAAATTTTGAGCTTTGGAGTTAATGTCCAGTGCTCCAAAGCAGGATTGGAACGATGCTCGTGAGGTACACTGCTCGAGAGATAGGAGTAGGGCGGCGTGGAAAATAATTGAGGAGGTATTCATATTCAACATTTGAATGGAGCTTTTTTTCTTCTTCTTATAGTTATTCCTTTTACCTCGACGCATCGATACGACCATTTGTATGATATAAAACTTTATCGAACTAAATCAGAATGTTTTTACCTCGACGCAGTATCTAATGCCCTTTGTGGATAAAAAGAAACACAAGATTTGTACGGAGTGTAGGCTTCACCCGGATAATGATATGTTCAGAGATCAAGAACAGCACAAAACGCATCTAGATTTTAATGACTGGAAGTGTGGATATTGTAGAAAAAGATCCTATGAAGAGAAGTATCTTTATCAGCATTTTGACAATAGACACTATGATTTGCTGAATGTGGTAAGTTGCCGTTGATGATTCAATTCCCATTTGATTCTTAGTTAGTCATATAAGATCATTCTAAAACGTCTATAAGAATCGTGGGCTTTCGTTAGTTCATAGTGGATTATATATGTCTTTACTTTTTTGAGTTCATGTTGTGAGGTGGGAATGTCTTAACTAGTTGAGATAATACTCAGGTTGACGTTCACGGTGGATTATATTGCAATATAGTCAAGTAGATATAACATGGGACACTAGGTACTTTACAATATGTTTATGCTTCTTTCTAGTTATTGGATCGTGCCTATTCGAGTAGACAGGGTATTTATATGGACTTCAGGCAAAAAGTTCTTAAACTGACCCAAGTACCTGTAGTATTTTGTGTCTTTAGTAACCGATCTCTCTCTTAATAATAGTTTGCAGTGTACTTTTGTGAGATCCCGCATTGGTTGGAGAGGAGAACGAAACATTTCTTGTAAGGGTATGGAAATATCTTCCTAGTATACGCGTTTTAAATTTTTTAGGACAATACCGGCTGGCGGTAGGCTTGGGCTGTTACAAATGGTATCAGAGCTAGTCACTGGACAGTGCGAGACACTGGTCAGAGTTGGGCTAAACCCTTTACATAGTAGATGTGTTTTAAAACTGTGAGGTTGATGACGATACGTAATAGGTCAAAGTGGACAATATCTGATAGCGGTGAGCTTCGACTGTTACAAATGATATCAGAGTCAGACACCGGGCGGTGTATCAGTGAGGACATTGGGCCTCAAGGAGGGTGGATTATTAGATCCAATATTGGTTGGAGAGGGGAACGAAACATTTCTTATAAGGGTGTGGAAACCTCTTCCTAATAAACACGTTTTAAACCTTGAGTGGAAGCTCAAAAAAGAAAGCCTAAAGAGAACAATATCTGCTAGCGGTAAACTCGGGCTGTTACACTTTTCTTCTACTTATACATCACGAGCATAACCCGTAGACGGTACAAAAAGCATTGTTTACTTCAGTTTTAGCTGATACGGCACTCGAATCATCTTGCTCGTGTTTAATCTAGAGTCGAAGCAAGTGCATGGCAGATCTTTGTGGTGCATTGCACTGTGATCATGTAATGGATTCAGTATCACAGAAAAGTAAATGCAATCCTGCTGCTGCTGCAAGAAACAAAGACATGTCTGAGGTAACCTCAAAAGATTTCCTGTAGATTTCTTCTTTATATACTCACAATTCACCACACAATTGTTAACTCATTGCAGGCTCTTGCTGATAGTTGTTTTCCCATCAATGAGGGTGCCTCAGCCAGCCATCTTCATGGTAGCTTCAGAATTCTCCCTTACAACTTTCATTACTATCATCTATCTAATAAAACTCTTTTGGTGTTATCCAAATGGTAGAATTCTTCTTGCACCAGTTCTGTGATGCACACACTTGTAGCAGAAAGCCAAAACCGTTCTCGAGAGGTCGACAGGTATGTAGTTTCATTGTATGTATATATATGGCTCCTTTTGATCAATTTCTCATGGTATATGATGCTTGCTCAGTGTCACAATCGCACTCTAGCAATAGCGGGATAGCGATTGTGTGACACTTATTCTAACCAAGCGAACAAGTCAGCCGTGAGAAATTCGGACGTTGCAGACAATGTCGGCGTATGTTCAAACCTCGAGTCATGTTGAGAGAAAAGGTTTAGAAAACGTGTGCGAGGAAATACATTTGCTAACGGTTTGAAGAATTGAAGAAAACAACATTATATGACTATAAGCAAATTAAGAAATATCACGACTTAAATAGCATATAACTCATGGTAGGAAGAAATGACAACTAGTCATATCCCCTATAATACATTTTGGGGTATTTTAAGCCCTGGCGGGCGTAGACATGGTTTTGGTGAACGGTCATACATCCTCGTATTGACCCATCGTGAAATGGTAAAGACCTATCTAGGATGAAAGCATGTAAAAAGGGCTTTGGAACGGGCATGTAACCATGGACAACATGTCTTAGACAAGTAAGATTGAGACATCTGTCATGCGGCCATAAACAATATGCTTTGGACAAGCATGACCGTGACACTGAGTAATCTTCAAGTTATCACATTGGTCTCTCTGATCTTGATCGGCTCTGAAAAATATTAACATGCCTTATGTTGTCAATGAACTTTTAACAAGAATTGTTCAGTCGAATCATCTGAAGTTTGTGTTTCGTTACTGCATTTAATTCACTCGTTTATCCAATAATCATCTCAGGTTCATTAGTCTCTTCCTGTTATCCGGGAACTTGTTCAGAAATACTGCTAGCAAGAAAACAATTCTATCCCGTTTTCTTTTTTAAAAAAACCCAACTTTCATCGAAAAAGATAAACGATCCAAACTTTTGTTGAAGCAAGAACCCTAAACCCTTGAATCAACCCTAAATTAGATTACCTAAATTTGGATCAAGGCTAGAATTAGATTACCTAAATTTGGATCAAGGCTAGAATTAGATTACCTAAATTTGGATCAAGGCTAGAATTAGATTACCTAAATTTGGATCAAGGCTAGAATTAGATTACCTAAATTTGGATAAAGGCTAGAATTAGATTACCTAAATTTGTAAATTTGGATCAACCAAGAAATAAGGCTAGAATTAGATTACCTAAATTTGGATCAAGGCTTTAGATTACCTGATCGATCGAAGATAAGGCTAGAATTAGATTACCTAAATTTGGATCAAATAAGGCTAGAATTAGATTACCTAAATTTGGATCAAATAAGGCTAGAATTAGATTACCTCTTACCATCGAAGATTTGAAAACCTTAGGCTAGAATTAGATTACCTCTTACCATCGAAGATTTGAAAACCTTGTTCTAAATTGAGTCACTTCACAATCTAACTTGATTAAGGCTTGATTGAATGACTCGATCACAATCTAACTTGATTAAGGCTTGATTGAATGACTCGAGTGCAATTCTACCACAACAAGAATTGCTTGAAACTTAGAAATGGCAAATATGATGCTCGAATTTCTAAGGGAAATGTCTCAATTTGAGATCTGAATTATATTCATCCACGAATCTGATTTTTACATAACATATTGTGGGTATTTATAGTCTCCCGACAAAAGACATTCGTGGCCGGGATTCAATCCTGATCCCCTTTAATCTCCACAAATGACGAAGTCAATTTTGACCAATTGACCATTGCAAAATGAAAACAAAAAAACAATAAAATCTGTTGATATGTTTGAGTGGCTAAAGAAATAAACTTGAAATCAATTAGGCTTCACTCGTGTAGGTTCAAACCCTATCATTTTTTATGTTTTTGTTTTTCAACTTCAACCGTGAAAATATTCAATTGTCCTTCGTCAATTGTATCAGCTTCTAATTCTACAAATGTTTGTTGAATCTTCTTCGCCTTGGATCGTGTAATAGGTCCAGTTGGAACATTCGCCTTGGATCGTGTAATAGGTCCAGTTGGAACATTTGGAACACCGTGATTCTTATCATCTTCTCTCTCTTCAAAATGATTCGTCAAAGGACTTAAGTCAACAACATTGAAAGTAGAATGTACTGAAAAGTCTCCGGGAAGATCAATTTTATATGCATTGTTATTAATTCTTTCAAGGACTTGATAAGGGTCATCCCCTCTTGGATGTAACTTTGTCTTCCATTGAGATGAGAATCGCTTCTTGCGAAAATGTATTCAAACCCAGTCACCAAGTCACCAAGTTTAAAAATGATTTCCTTCCGTCCTTTGTAATCCTTGAAGTAACTTTGAAATTTTGGGTCTCAATTCTCTCCTTCACCCCCTTGTGCAATGTCTTGATCAAGTCTGCCTTATTTTTGGCTGCGTCACTCACAAACATATTAGAAGGAATAGGAAGCAAATCAAGAGGCGTAAGTGGATTAAATCCATAAATAACTTCAAAAGGAGAACAATGTTGTTCTATGAATTGCTCTATTATATGTAAACTCTACAAATGACAAACATTCATCCCAAGACTTAATATTCTTAGAAATAATAGCCCTAAGCAATGCTCCTAATGTTCTATTAACCACCTCAGTTTTTCCATCCGTCTGAAGATGACATGTAGTTGAAAACAACAATTTGGTACCCAATTTACCCCACAATACTTTCCAAAAGTGACCTAGAAATTTAGCATCCCTATCAGTAACAATTATTCTAGGGATTCCATGTAATCTTACTACTTCCCTAAAAAATAAATCAGCAATATGTTTTGTATCGTCCGCCTTGTTACATGCAATAAAATGAGTCATCTTACTAAATCTGTCTACCACAACAAAAATACTATCTTTACCCTTTTTAATATGCGGTAAACCAAGAACAAAATCCATAGATATATTAGTTCAAGGTTCATTAGGTACATTCAAAGGAGTGTACAATCTATTCGGTTGTGATCTAGATTTAGCTTCTTTGCATTTAAAGCATTGTCTACAAAATTTATGAACATCATGCTTCATTTTTGGCCAAAAGAAGTGTTCATGCAACATATTATAAGTTTTATTAATCCCAAAATGTCCTATTAAGCCACCACTATGTGCTTCTTTAACAAGCAAATCTCGGAAAGAGCATTTAAGAATACAATGCTTACTTTTCTTAAATAAGAATTCATGAAACACATAATAATCATCTACAGCTGTTTTTGTAAGACAAGATGCATAAATAATTTCAAAGACGTGGTCATCTCGATATAATTCTTTAATATGCTCAAATCCAAGATTTTTTGCACTGATAGAAGTAAAAAGATTGTACCTTCTAGATAATGCATCAGCTACCACATTATCCTTACATTGCTTATATTTGATGACATACGGAAATGTTTCAATAAACTCCACCCATTTTGCATGCCTACGGTTCAGTTTGCTTTGACCCTTAAGATACTTCAAGCTTTCATGATTAGGGTGGATCACGAATTTTCTAGGCCATAAGTAGTGTTGCCACACCTGCAATGTGCGAACTAAAGTAAACAATTCTTTATCATAGGTAAGATAGTTCAATGCTGCCCCATTTAGTTTTTCACTAAAATACATTACGGGTTTTTTACTAATACATAGGAGAACGAAGCATTCCTTTTAAGAGTGTGGAAACTTCTCCGCGGCCATAAACAATATGCTTTGGACAAGCATGACCGTGACACTTAGTAATCTTCAAGTTATCACATTGGTCTCTCTGATCTTGATCGGCTCTGAAAAATATCAACGTGCCTTGTTGTGTTGTCAATGAACTTTTAACATAAAGTAAGAATTGTTCAATCGAATCATTTGAAGTTTGTGTTTCGTTACTGCATCAAATTCACTTGTTTATCCAATAATCATCTAAGGTTCATTAGTCTCTTCTTGTTCTAACCGCTAGCAAGAAAACAATTCTAACTCGTTTTCTTTTTTTAAAAAAACCCAACTTTCATCGAGAAAGATGGAAGAATTTATGTGAGATCCCACATCGGTAGGAGAGGAGAACGAAACATTCCTTTTAAGAGTGTGGAAACTTCTCCTTAGCAGACATGTTTTAAAACCGTGAGACTAACGGCGACATATAATAGGCCAAAGTGGATAATATCTGCTAGTGGTGAGCTTGGGCTGTAACAAATGGTATTAGAACTAGACACCGGGAGGTGTGTCAGTGAGGACGCTGGGTTGGCCCCCAAGGGAGTGGATTGTGAGATCCCACATCGGTTGGAGAGGATAACGAAACATTCATTTTAATGGTGTGGAAACCTCTTCCTAGCAGACGCATTTTAAAATCGTGAGGTTGACGACGATACGTAACGAACCAAAGCGGATAATATCTATTAGTAGTGGGCTTGGGCTGTTACAATTGGTATTAGAGCCTAACATCGAGCGGTGTGCCAGTGAGGATGCTGGCCCCCAAAGGGGGTGGATTGTGAGATCTCACATCAGTTGGAGAGGAGAACAAAACATTCCTTATAAGGGCGTGGAAACCTCTCCCTAGCAGACACGTTTTAAAATCGTGAGGTTGACGGCGATATGTAACGAGCCAAAGTGGACAATATCTTCTAGCGGTGGGCTTAGGGTGTTATAAATGGTATCAAAGTTAGACACTAGGAGGTGTGTCAGCAAGGACGTTGGCCCCCAAGGGGGTGGATTGTAAGATCCTGCATGGGTTGGAGAGGAGAACAAAGCATTTCTTATAAGGGTGTGGAAACCTCTCCCTGGCACATTTAAAACTGTGAGACTGACGGTGATATATAACCGGCTAAAGCGGACAATATCTACTAGTGATAGGTTTGGGCTGCTACAATCTACAAGAACATACAAAAAGTAAACCCACAAAAAGAGTCCCCAACTACCAGAAATGACCTCGTCACCCATCCAACCATATTCACCACCTCCTCTAAAGACCTCGTCACCCCTTCTTTTTGTCGAATGCATTCTTTGGTATGCGTGCAGGTTAGGACGAGTTGGTCCATCGTTATTTTAGTTTTGACCATACTTATTGTGTTGTTTTTCTATGTCTTCGTTTACTTATATAAGAGGTATCTCTCCTTTGGCCAGCCTACCTTCCATTTGTATCAGTTGATGAAAGGTTCAACTTTGACTTGACAATCGTGTTCGTTTTACAGAGGAATGCAAACGAGACCACAAAATGCTGAAGCGCCTCTCGAAAAGTGGAAGAAAGAAAAAATCTTCGTAGAATAGAAAGAAACTCTTGCCCTTTCATTAACAATATGCAGATTTATTTACGTAACAGGTCGTAACGGGCCAAACCAGACAACATCTTCTCGCTCACTTTTTAGGAAGAGAGGACAAATCTAGTTTGTTTTAACCCGTTTGTTTTCTCACATCATTTGTAATTATAGAACTCAGGTTGGTTGGTGCCCTGCTATGAACAGATTTATCTAATTATGAATCCATCAGTCTTAATGCTTTATTACACTACTTTTTATGAGATGACCCATCGACCTTACATATTGGAATCATATATCATTCATATTCTTTTTCTCTCTTTCTTTCACCCTTCTATTTATCCGCATACTTTTATTGCTTCACAACTCATAATCGGATTTTTTGGTATCTTATTGAACAAAAATGGTGATATTGTTCCTCCATTGATCAAGAATTTCGATTTTTGGGAAGTATCATGATCATCCAATAAGAAGGGTTTCAATTTTTTCAAATGAACGATTTGAAGACCTATTGATTCTAACAACTGATTGCTCGCGCCCCTAGGTATTCTCTACCTACCCACCTGTGTCGGTTTCGGGTACAGGTACCCTTTTGTTGAAGGTCCTAACGAATTCCTAATTTCAATGAAGTTTTGAAAAATCCAAACATCTCAGAGATCGATAGAGAGGTAGGAATTTATCGAACGAACCGCACTCCTTCGTATAAGACCGATCCTAATTAAATTGATGAGCCCCACCCTAACGAAATTCATTTGATTGAGACTATAACAATCTTTCCAGTTATTTATTTCGTTCCCTATTAGGATCAGTCGCGGTCTTACAAACTCTACCGATAGTATGGACGAATCTGTTTCTTCATGAATCTCATGGAGAGTTCGATCCTGGCTCAGGATGAACGCTGATCTTCAGAGTTTAGATTGTCGGTAAAAATTACGACACGTTTGGCTTTTCTTGAACGAATTTGATGATCTTGCGCCGTCTTTTTTTTGTCTTCTTCGTCTTAAAAAAATTTTATTTAAATAATCAAAATTATAAACGAACTTCTACTAGACTTTTTTTTGAGTCAAACCGATTCTGATTCATAGAGACGCCATTGAATTAAATTAATATGATATGAAAAAGAAAGGTCAACCCGTGTATTTCTTTTGAACTCTCAATACAAATCCATCCTCTTGTGAGCAATAAGATTTTTGTATCATAACATTTCTTTTGAGAAATATAACCATTTCATGAATATTAACTTGGGCAGATTGATCAATCCGTAAAAGTCAGATGGTAAGTTCTAACTCTTAAACTTTCGGGAGGGATGTGTTTACTTGGTTTCTTAACTTAAAGAGCGTCTTAACGCATTTCAGGGAGAACTAACTAGTTCTGAGTTCGAGTGACACTTCTCCTTCAACCATAACTCATCCATTGATTCTTCAACATTAGTCAGTTCAGACCTCCAATTAGTGTCACCCAAGCTTCATATTGGTCATTGATAGATCACCTAGGTTCGAGTCTATAAGCAGTGATAATTGCCCCATGAAAACTCATTTTCGCTATGACTTTGGTGCTTAACCAATCCACTAACGACTCATTCTTCAACCGGCACGTGGTTAGTGTCTAATAGGTTTCTAAACTTTCAATTTTGTCATTTAATCCCTAAAATTTAAAAATGTCTAATATATAGTTGTTAGTACTTAAATTTTTTATAACTGATCTAGTACTTAAATTTTTTATAACTGATCTATTATGACATGTTCATCACTTTCTGACATTACCTAAAAGTTCGGAAACTAAACTAGTAAATGTTTCACTTTTCATAGAGGGAAATGTTATTTTGGTTTGAGAAGTGATGTTACCGGTAGTAAATGTTTTTTTATTTTTGGGCATAAGTTCCCTAAGTCATTCTCGGACCTAACTGTTGTTCAACCTTAATAAGGTTGCAATGCATCAGGAAACTCAACTCAATAAATCCTAATATGCTTCGTTATTTAACCTAAAAAGTATTGATAGACACGATAAACTATGATCTTAACCGATCATAATTAAAATTTAATATAATAGGTACACGTCAATTTAACATTTTTTTTTAAAAAAAAATTGAAGATATTTTTTTAATTTTTCAGAAATATTATTAAAACTTGTGTTTTACACATAATGCAAAATTATACAATATTTTTATTAATTTAATCAATTAATAATTATCATTTAAAACGTAATAATTAATCATCCCGGAAATATAGCCGTTGCAAAAGAAATACCGACCCGAACCGCATTCAAATACGAACAAAATCCGACCGTTGGGAAGTTCATCGTTTTGAACTAATCCATTTCTTCGGAGTTAATCAAAGAAAAAAAAAAACTCTGTTCACTCTCTCGTTGATGATCTCCTTCACCGATTCGTATCCGATCTGAAATGGTGCAAGAGGGATCGACACAAGCGCTTCAGAACCAGAACAAGAAACGATTGGATCGAAACCGCTCGAAATCGGAAATGATGGGGCTAGTTACTTTAGCCCTAGATTCAAATCGGCGGTCGCCATGGCCGGCTGGGACGAAGAAGCGCTTCTAATCGCGAGCCTGGTCGTCGAAGACACGCCGGACAGAGAGTTCCGGCAGAAGAAACGATTAGTTCTCCAGTGCAAGAGTCCTCAGTCTGGTTCGAGAAGGTAGACTGTATTTTTTTTTATTCTGATTCTTCTCTCGGTTCCTCCATATCTATGCGCAGATTCTAGGGTTTCTATTCGGATTGATTGGAGTTGTTTTGTCTGAAATTTGAGTTCATTTCTTGTGTGCTTTTTGTAGAAAACGAAGGGCTTCGGCAAACTTAATCTCGATTCCGGCGGCTGTTCTTGACCTCGAGGAAGAAGAATCGACTGTGAAAGGTAGATTTCCATTTACAATGCTTGGAGGATTCGGATTTCCATTTGTCCCTAATTTCTAGAAAATTCTTGGAGGATTAGGTTACCAAATTTTTAATTGAGACTGAGATCATGAGAACTCGGTGTTTATGATCCATTTAAATTTGTATCCGTCTCGGTTTCCTAATAAACTTTGATCTGCACTTGATTAAATGTAGTGTTGTTTGTTTTTTGAATTGTGCAAATTTTATTGTACTTCTAGTGTCATTCCATGCCACAGTCATCGATTCGAAGTTTCGAAAATTGGGTCATAACAGTTCGATTACTGTTTTGTTGTTGAAAATTAAGCTTAAAACCACCATTTTCGAGTTTCTTTGATATAAGTAATTGTTGTAGCAAATGATATGAACAGATGATGCTCTAAAACAAGATCAAGAAACAGCAGAGGCTGACCCAAAGAAAAGTGATTCATTGGATGAACAGAAAGCTGGTGCTTCTTCTTCTTCTTCTTCTTCAACATGTTCAACTCTTCCAGCAGGATACTCTCTCTCAACTTTCAACCTTTAGCTTTTTTTGGATACTTATCTTATTCCTAATTGCTTTGTTTTCAATTCTTCTTTATAGATTTGCTTGGAAATTTGCTTTGAACCTAGTACTACACCTTGTGGCCATAGGTAACTAACTCCCTCTAGACTGACTCATTGTTCTTACACTTGAATCTTATTTTTGGTTCTTTGAGTTTGATTGAGCCCTAAATGTTGAGATGCTCTGTTCTGAATACTAAATTGTATATGAAAGTTTTTGAGTTGTTTTTTCTTGATTTTTCTTTAATCGTTATATTATATCAAAATTTGTTTTTTTTTTTTTTTTTTTTAACTACAAATTGAGAATTCCTCGACTTTTAAAGAAATGAATCTTTGAAATTTTAAATTTGTATTTATTGACTTCTAAAATTTGAAAAGTAGTTAATAGGTCAATGATGTTTTTTGACCTTATTAAGTTTTGAGGACTAATAGTCATAAAATTGGAAGTTTTATACCTTGTTCGAGAGGAGTTAGAAGCATCGTTTATAAAGGTGTGAAAACCTCTCCCTAATAGATACGTTTTAAAACCTTAAGGGAAAGCTCGGAAGGAAAAGTCCAAAGAGGACAATATCTACTAGCGGTGAGTTTGAGCAGTTACAAAAATAAACACACGATAACTATAAACAATAATGAAAATGTCAAAGGGCTAATAGACACAAAGTTGAAAGTTTTAGAGAATTATGAGGCAATTATTAAGAATATTTATTAAGAATCCGTACTAAGTAGTACCATTCTAAGTTGTCTTCCTTTCTGCTTGTATATGGGTAGTTTCTGCAAGAAATGTCTAAGATCTGCAGCTGACAAATGTGGAAAAAAGTGCCCAAAATGCAGACAGCTATAAGGTTGAATTTGCTACTCCAAAGTTCCATGCAACCAAATCATTTGGATCATTAAATTTTCAGACATTAATGCTTACATGTCTCTTGTGTTGATCTTAAGTTTGCAGCAATGGGAGATCTTGCACTACTGTAAATACAATTCTTTGGAACACCATACAAATTCTTTTTCCTCAGGAGGTTGAATCAAGAAAGGAAGCAAAAGGAGGGTGTAGTAGCCATGACAAGAAGATTCAAGACACAGAAAAGGCCTTCTATAGTAGTTTGCAGAACCATAACACGCGAGCAACCCAAACGTCGAGTAGACATGGCAATAGTAGCTCAAGAAGACGAAGGGAAATAACTGGTCGAAACGAGGATGGCGAATCTAACAGTAGAATGACAACGCAGCAAGCTCCATTTTCAAATGCTGTCAGCAGAGTTCAGTCCAGAATGCACCATCGAAGTGTTCGGCCAGTGAGGACGACGACTCGAGATGCAGATGTGAGTAGGAGGAGAGGTACGCCAGACCAAGATCAGGAGGTTGCTTTGGCACTGAGATTGCGGAGTTTATGGAGGCTCTCAGAGATGATCATAATCAAATGCAAACCAGAAGCTCAGTGTCCTTGGCTAGAGCTAATCTTAGAGCATTGGCTGCCATTAATGGTGCCCAGGAACTTCTCTATCTGTAACGTTTTGAAAAGTGCAAAACTCTTACCCAATGCCAGATTGTTCTTGAATATTTGATAAACAATTGAGGTTTTGAAGCTCAAGGATTCTTTCAGGTTTGAGCTGGGAGTGACAAAGCAAGAAGAACTCACATAACTGAGAAAATTGTACACAATTCGTGGGGGGAAAATAGGAAGGAACGATGTTCAACCTCGGTGCTCGATTTCGAAAGAGAATCGGAAACATTTTACATTACAAGACCAATGATATATGTATCCATCCTCCTAATCTCAGGGTTCTCTATCTTACAAAAGATCAAAATGGAAGGAGGAACAAAACTTGATTTAACAGCCTATGAAAAAATGTTACACTCCCTCATTCTAAGTACACCACATGATCTCTAACCGTGACACTACCTCGACTCGGTTTATTATGCCTGGTTTCTTCAGAATACACATCAATAAGAGAACTCGTGGCCTCGTAGTGAAATATATTTTTTGACCCAGATGGCGATGTCCTCTGCACAAGCTTGGGCTTGAGGTGTCTTGAGAAGGATGTCGAGGGTAGCAAATTCGTGTACTGCATCCTTATAGTCAAGAACAGGTGCATCGACATTTACTTTTCGAAGTTCTTCGGAGTATGCTATGGCTCGATCTCTCATCCAGTCGAGTTCAGCTACCACTGTCAGTGTCGGTGGCATAAGCTTTAAAGGTGGGCCTTCTCTACCAGAAGCAAGGGGATTTGCAGCTGGATGATCAAGACTAAACTCTTCCTCAGGTAGGAACAGCTTCCAAGCAAGAAGGCACATAGCTTTATCGTAAAAGTACGAATTCGCAAACTTCAATTCTGAATGCGTAGGGACACTCCCGACAAAGAACGGATACAGGAGAATCTGTGCAACAACTTTGACAGGGTCCAAGAGCTTACCAGCCTCGACGACCTTTCTAGCCACATAATCTGCAATATTTGCTCCACAGCTAACCCCAAGAAGAACACATCTGCTCAAAAGAAAAAGAAAAAACAAGGTCAAGTTACTACCCTGAGGATCTTTCTTGCTTCTATGAGAAGGAATGAAAGAAAGTCCACTACAAAAGACAACAGTCAATTATTTTTCAAAAAAAGAAAAAGGAAACCAATTGTAGAAAATAATAGGTAAAAGGGTTTTTCTTTGGGATACCGACGACATCCAAAACCTATCTCGGTAGGCCAATACCTCCTTAAATATTCACCTCTTTTTATCTTGAACGTTTTCGGAAGGCAACAGAGAACAGATTTTAAAATCTAAGAACAAGAGGAGATTCTTTCTTGCCTCATGAATCTCAATTCTCAGAGAAGCATCCGTTCAGCCAAGATACTGGGGCAAAAAGGATTCTATGCAATGCTTTCAACGAATATTCAGAGGAAAAGGTTGCAAAGCTCTATTACAACTGCTTAACCATCCTACCAGTAACAGTTCAGAACAAAGAACTGACTCTTTGAATCCGTCATTCAATACCGCCCCTAACTAAATCCAATACAATATGATTAGATTAGGAAGAGCAACGATTGAAAGATTATGCAGATTAAATATGTGAGGCATTGTGAAGCCTGACTGCTTCAATGCTTTAAATTTTAACGTCTAGAAAGCTAGCAATGAACCAGAAGCGGTAATGATGGACCTTTCCTCTCAAGAGGTTGGATGGAAGTGTTCAATAATGTGAGGCAATTCTTAGCTCCTAGGATTATCTCGAACCATTGGCCTCTTTGCTGCTACTCGGATTTGATAAAATGCGATCCAACTCTTTCAGGGTAAGAGCATATGGTTGTCCCATCCATCTTTTAAAACCTCATTCTCTCGGTGGTGGCAATCTAAGGTTCAAGGAAGAGGGGAGGGGTTTCGCTTTTTGCGAAAACTCAACTCAATCAAAGAGAAGTTTAAGTCTTGGAATAGGGAGGTTTTTGGGGACGTTAGGGTCAAGAAAAAGGATATTTGGGGAAACTTGAAGCTTTTCACATGTTGGAAGAGATAGAGGAGAGATTACTCGACGCTGTGAAGGTGGAGCGGCTAAATTTGAAAGTTGGATTTGCAGAAATCGCCAGAAAAGAGTGTGCAAGTGGGATTCAAAAAGCAGAAGTTAAATGGGCAAGTGAGGATGATTGTAACTCAGTTTATTTCTATAAAGTTGTTGGCGGTAGAAAAAATAAGAACTTCATCAAACCATTGAGAAGGAGATTGAAGGTCTATTAATCTAGGACCGATTGAAGGTCTCTTTTTATGGGTCGTTAGTTGATCCTCACTCATTTTTAGAGCGGGTGGATCGGTGTCCTATCTCCCAAGGACAGAGATCCGTTTGAGGCACCCTTCTCCTTGGAGGAAGGTCAAAAGGATGTCGGTCAGATAGAAACACAACCCCATGTTTGGATGAGTTTTCTTCAACTTTCTTCAGAGACAATTAGGAGGTTATTAAGAAGAATCTTTGGAAAGTCGTCAGTCAATTCTACAAGAGATGCATTCTCAATAATGTGCTCAACAATACCTTTGTTTTGCTTAAACCCTAAGAAGGATAAGGCATCAAAGGTAAAGGACTTTAGACCCATTGATCTTATTACTAGTGTATAAGGTTATCTCCAAACTCCTTGCCGGGTTAAAAAGGTTCTCCCCTCAACGATCTTCGCTGCTCAAGGGGCATTTCTTGCTAGCAGGCAGATCTTAGGCCAAGATCTAATTGCAAATGAGACCATTGAGGATTATAGAGCTCGAAAAAAAGAAAAAAAAAACGGGATCATCTTCAAGATTGACTTTCAGAGAGCCTCCGATCATGTGGATTGGACTTTTCTACATAAGGTGATGGAGAAGAAGGGACATGGGCCGAAATAGTGATTGTGGATGGAGGGTTGTTCAAGGAATGTGAACTATTCTATCTTGCTCAATGGTAAGCAGGGAAGAATGCATGTCTCTAGAAGTCTTAGATAAGGTGATCCTCTGGTCTATTCTAGACGGTTTTCAAATTGGTAACGACAAGGTTCACCTATTTCACCTTCAGTTCGAAGATGTACCATCTTTTGCTTTGGCAAAGGAGTTCTTTATCGTTTTGAATCGTATGTTAGCCTTTTCTGATATGATCTCAAGATTTAGGATTAAACGAGGCAAATGGCAAATTTTATGCATTAATGGCAACTCATTCAAACTCGATAGCTGAGCTAACTGTAACGGCCCAAGCCCACCACTAGCAGATATTATCCTCTTTGGACTTTCCCTTTCGAGTTTTCCCTCAAGGTTTTTAAAACGCGTCTGCTAGGGAAAGGTTTTCACCTTATAAAGGGTGTTTCGTTCTCTTCACCAATTGATGTGGGATCTCACAATCCACCCCCCTTTAGGGCCCAGTGTGTTCTCGCTGGCACTTATTCTTTCTTCAATCGATGTGGGACCCTACCAAATCCACCCCCCTTCAGGGCCAGCATCCTTACTAGCACACCACCTCGTGTCTACCCCTTCGAGGAACAGTCTCCTCGCTGGCACATCGCCCGGTGTCTAGCTCTGATACCATTTGTAACGGTCCAACCCCATTGCTAGCAGATAATGTCTTCTTTGGGGAAGCCTGAAAGGGAAAGCCTAAAGAGGACAATATCTGCTAGTGGTGGGCTTGAGCCGTTACACTAACTTTGTGGGTTGTGAAGTTTATACGTTAATGGCGACTCCTTCAAGCTCGGGAGGTGGGCTAACTTTGTGGGTCGTGAAGTTTAGGTCTTCCCTTCATCCTACTTGGGTCTTTTCCTGAGCCATGCTTCTAAAGGTAGCTCCTTGTAATGGAGGGTGTGGATGAGGGGAAGGGTTCATTAACACACAAAGAACAAAGGAAATCAAAGCAATATCATCAACACAAAACATTAAGCCATATGATATCAGAATTCTTGCTATCAAAAATGAAAACCTTGTTGGGTCTCCATGGGCTGCAAGCCAAGGCTCTACCATTGACGCCCCGAACGCGTCGACGATATGCCCATGAGAATCCGATTTCTTAAACTCATTGTCATTGTCTATGGCATTTCCCAAAGACTTGCTACATTCGGCCAAATTGGCCTGCTTCCCCAGCCAATTCAACACCGTCAACCCATCTTCAAACGCAGCTGGAAACCGGCTCTCGGGTGCAAGCCGATACCCAACAGAGACAACAATAACATCGCACAATTTCGCAATCCTCCGGCAAAAGAAATCGTTCGCCGCCGAACCATTGCTCCCACTAACCCACCCCCCGCCGTGAAATTGCAACATCACAGGCAACCTCCGGCTATTCTCCGTGGCTGGCGCATACCCTCTATAAACGCCACCGGTAGCAGCGCCGGAAATCAAATTCAACCCGTCCATTTCATTACTGTAACCCCCATACCTACTCGTCCGCGGTTCTTCCGTGGAATTTCCCGAAGGACCATAGCTATTGCGGCGCGTATTATATTGCTGTAAGTTATTCAGATTCTGATTAACAAGATCGGGCTGAGCATCTTGGTTAGGGCGTTTAGGTTTTGCCCTGGACGATTTGGAAGAGGGATTTGAATCGGATTCAAGCGGAGTAAGAGCAGATTCAGGAAGGAAGATCCGAATACTAAGAGATGTGAAGGGATCGATGTGGATATCCTTGGTAGCAACGCCGTCGGTGAACAGAGGATTAGCGGAAGCGACGGTTTCTTCGGGTCGAGATGTGACTCCAAAAGCGGTGGATTCGTCGAGTGGATCTTGGATCAGATTCTGTAAACGATGCTTCAAGAGAAACTTGAAGAACACGCTGTAGAGCTTCACAGCCACGCCTGGCATTTCTCTCGGTCTCTCTCTCTCTCTCTCTATGAATCTCTCTCGTTTGCAGAATCAGACGAGAAATCGGGGAGCCAAATCGGAAGGAGACGACGGAGATAGAATCATAGGTGAAAATGGATCGAGTGAATTTAGGTGTCTTTCAAAGGGAAATTGCTCTCGAGATCTCTCTGTAACGCTTCAATGGCGTTGGGAGTTCCAGAGAAGGAGGAGGAGAAGGAGAAGAGAGCTCTTCCAACCGACTTCATTTCAAATAATTTCGAAATTTTTTAATTAATTTAATGTTTTAACTTCATTAAAAATATCACATAATAAAAATTATTTATTTATTTATTTTATATAAAAATTAAATTTTAATTAAAGTGTTCATAAAATTATAGTCATGTAATTGAAAATTTGTGAATTTTTCGTAAATTTAAATACTAAATTTATAATTTAATAATATTTTCATATACTAAAATGCTTAATATGTTTATTTAAAGAGTTAAAAATTATAATAAATAAATAAATAAATAATTTATTTTTGTTAATTTTTTATTTTAATTTATTTTTAAAAGCACTGTCGGGGATCTATTTCTGTGCCAGATAGGAATGAGAACGCCGCCAAAAATAGGCAGCAATCGTGTGTTTCGCATGTTTCGGGTAATCGTGCAACCGACACCTTGGGAGTCGTACAATCTGACACGTCCTATACAACAGACCGTGACAAATGTACGAGCGGGCACAGGGGATTTTTTTATTGCTTCTTGAAACGACGTCGGTTCGTTCGGTATTGACTGGCCTTTTAAATTTAATTATTTGAATTCAATTTTTTTTTTTCTTTTTGAAGTTAAATACTTAAAAATTAAAATGGTATGACTTAGTATTCAAAGAAAAAGACGTTTCGTGTATTTAAAAAAGGGCTACTATTAATTTAGCTTTATAGCTTTAACTTCGTAATAATTTAATAAATAAATAAATGAAGCTTACCCCATATTATCATGTTTACACATCAATTATGATAATTCAAATTCTAAACGTCATCTTTATATGATGGCTCCTTATTATACTCTTCTATACATGCATATCCGTTCATCGATCAAAGAAATACAAACATGGTTGAGATTAATCTATATATATTTTGAGACTACAACCTCTCTCAAAGAAAATAGGTTATGACTCAACACCCGACAACGTGAGGAGCAAGATTGAGAAGTGTCATAATGCAATCGAAGAGGACGGTACATCATCCAACACACCAAGAGTATGCATTGAAGATAAGTTGAGGCATACACAAAAAAAGTTCGAGTGAACAAAGCAACACAGATATCAAAGATAAGCTCGAAAAGGGTCAAGTAGGACATCAAGCCATAACCTCGAAAATCGAGGTTTTGATATGAGTTTCGACATACGACTCAACAATTAAATCCATCTATATGAAAGATAAATGTTCACCAAATTTGGTGTCAATCAAATACCCGACTGACTATGCATGATACCATATTTATTTTTTTGTATATCCACAAGTCCAAACTAACCTGCGAGCATTTCAACTCTTCGAGATAACTCTCTCTCCTTAAAGCTTTCATAGCAATGTTAAATCCTAAAGCTTTCGTAGCGATGTTAAATCCCAAGTACGTGACTGCTATGACTAGAACTCATTCGCTCTATACTCTTCACTACTTACGTGGTCATGGTTGACACCACTCGATGTTTAGAACTTCTTCAATTCTACTTCTTGTCTGAAGATTGTGGTTGACGAAATAATAATAATAATTTGCATTCAAGAAAAGGTCTATAGTAAATATATTTACCAAATTTTATGAACTAAATATTTTAGCAAAAGTTAACCATAAACTAAGATGAAGATTAATTTTAAGATCGAAAGGATCAAAATTGGACATTAGAAAGCAGAGAGAAGTCTAAAAATTCGAAATTTTAGCATCTTAACCTACAAAAAGCTATGAACTTGTCTATATCACTGAGCAAGCTCAGCAGTTGTATTAAAATGGTAAACTACTAAATCCATGATGTATATGATATATTATGCAAGTTTGGTGAGAGCTAAATTCTAGGGCCTTTGAGCTTACCCGAGAAACGAGTTCCGAGTTCGGCTTGAATCTGGATTAGGCAAAAACTGAAGCACTTGAATGAACAACCCAGCTAAAAGATGAACAAATCAGGAACACAATGGCTGTAGGAGAATGTACAGACAGTTCGGAGGTACAGTAATTTCTAAGGATGCTACAAAGTTGTTAACATACAAATCAGAAAATATATAAATGAACTTGTCAATCAGTGTTAGATGTTTAAATCAAACAATAGATACAAAAGATTTTACCAATCCCGAGCTTTGGTTCGAATCGAATTTTGTATTTTAGCCCAATGTTTGAGTAGCATACCACTTTGATGCAATAGCTTTAGCAGACTTTAGACCCCAGGCGATGGGGATTGAAAGCTGTTGACAAACTATCACAGAAAACCAACCGAGAAAAAGATTAAATACCATACCAATCTGAATGACCGTCCCGATCGTGGCCAGTCCACGAAAGAGTCGCAAACTTTAAATTTGTTGCTATGCTCGAAGATCTGTGTGATCCATTTATAGCATAGCTACTCAGTTGGCACATGGCTAGCACAAAAATAGCAAGGATATCCATATCCAATGTGTGAAGCAGGGGCTACGAGGTGAACTGAAGTAAGCACCAAGTATAACAGAGTGTCGAGATGTAAAGAATCTCTAACTGAAGAATGGAAGGTCGCTGAAATTTCAACTTAATGTTCCATCATTGCTGTATCAGTTTCCGACAGTGGAGCTGTAAAGGAATCAGAATTGCCATTAAATATAGCTTCCAAGGGGGAAAATGTGCATTTGATCTATGGATAAATACCTATGAAACAGAATATATAGATACAAAACTGGGATATTTTCTAAAATAGCGAACTTACCAAGTAGATCCTCGTAAGAATCGGTAAAAAGTGATGAGTCCATCAGCAAAGGGGGTGAGAATACTTGATCCTGAGCTTCATCGTTGTCAAAAACTAATTTCCGAGCATCGGAAGTTGCATAATTTGATCGAGCAGAAGAAAGAAACCCATTTAACTCATCAAAGTCATTAAGAGAATCCAGATCATTCAATGCACCGGTAAATTCATTGAAATCAATTCCATTATTAAAATCATAGGCAGGACTCTCAGGCAAGGAAACGTCCGTGTGAGGAACAGACGACCTTCTATTCCTCGTGGAAGCTCCTTTACTATCTGGGCCTAAACGAGAAAATCCAGTTCCTGAAAGAGGCACAAAGAAGTGTTCCACACTTCCATCAGAATGACCATCTTGTGATGGTTCTGAATTGTTGTATTTCATCGAAAGAGCAGCTTCTCTGACTGATCTCTTTAAATTCTGAACATAAGAAGTCTCCGTGTCTGTTGAAGAGAATAAAACAAAACATATATGATCAAGGTGAGGCAGATTAAGTTTAACATATAGCTGTGAAGTAAAAAGGAGATGTGAATCAGCCAGCAGAAATGAAGGATGGGAGCGAATGCAGCAAACCTTGTGGCAGGTTATTCATATGATCGTTTGAGGAAGGCTGGTCAGGTGATTTGTTTTCTGATGAATTGTCTATTTGGCTGGTTTGAGATGCCAAATTGTGTCGCTTTTGCATATTTCCCGTTTTTCCAGAAGAGTTCGGCGTCAAACTAAACAATTGTGGGAGCTTTAAAGTAGGACTGGCAGACACCTTGTCAAGTTGAACGGACAACATTTTTAAAGTTGCCTCCGAAACCTCATCAGAGCTACTTACCTGAATAATTAAGAAAAACAGAGAAAACGTTGTTCAGCAGATTGAATCACTTCGGATGTGTCATAAAACAGCTTCTTAACAATTACCGATGTTCGTCCACTAGTCTGTGCCTGCATAGGTGACATGGTTCGAACAGGATGTTTGATCACTGGAGGTTGACTTAAGGATATATTGTTCACTTTCTCAGTACACTCTGATATTGATTTCTGTATTCCTGGAGCAACTTCCTTCAATTGGTTGATGAGCACCTGCACATACAAACGTTGATGTAAAATATAAGAGAACATTCACATAGACGACCTTGTAAAGCTGGATTATATTCGTGAAATTATCAAGAAAATAAGGTACTTCAAAAAATACACAAATGTTGTTTGATCACAATTACAAAGGGTGTCTAATGAAAACCTGCAAGCTTGCCAGGTGTTGTTGATGTTCAGCAAGAGTTGCCGCCAAAGACTCGGCATGGCCACTTGTACCGCCATCGTGTGCACCCCGTAGAATTTCAGGACCTTCTCCATCATTAGCTTTTGCCTACAAATCAGCTCATGGTAGACTTTTACCATAGAAGGTAAAAGGAACTATATATGTTGTGTCTAACTATGTTTTTTGAGAGGATAAGAGACTGACAGATCAAAATTAATAACCAATCCACAGGAAAGTTGAGCTACAGTTTTAAAGTTAGTCCAGAAGAGAACAACCAAGCAACTGAAAATAAAACCAATCCATAGGCTTTATTCACTCCTTAAATTTCATACCTCAATGAAATTGTTTTTTAAAAAAATTAACAAAAGAAAAGAAAAGGTTAAATCCCCCAATAAAGGAATTATATAAATACATTCCTGTGAATTAATACAGGGAAGATCCTTCATATTCTGCTGTCAGCATGTAGCAACACTTCCAACACATTCAAAATGTTAAATCTTCCAATAAAGAAAATATATAAATGTATGCCTGTTAAATTATACATAGAGGAAGATCCTTCATATTCTGCTGTCAGCATGTAGAAACACATTCAAAACATTGCCTCATGTTTGCAGGAAAAGCAATTGCCAAACCGATCAAATCAATTCATAATAACGAAATTAGGAAAATGGAAAGAAAACAAGAATTCGTAGATGCATCCAATACCAAAGGTTCAGATTCCATAAAATTAAACTAATCATTCAGATACTAGCAAATGCTACAGGCTACAGCTCCTCTTACGAAAGGATCATACTGATAGATCAACGAGCATTCAAACTATACAACAAACTAAGAAAGATTTCATATCCACCCCAAAAATAAGACACCAGAATCCAACTACCCAAGGACAACCATGGAATTACTCACATCAAATCATAGCATTTTCTACTAGAAGCTGAACTATTTCACAATATAAAAACAAAACAAAAACAGACAAACAAACAATAAGAAAGAAAGAGAAGAGGAAAAAAGACTTACCAGATGGAGTGA